GATCAGTGCATATCAGCACTTTTTCACCCACCTGATTATTTTAATCACATTGCCCTTGGCTGACTGATTGCAATAATTCTTGATACAACAGACGCAACAACAAATTCAGCTACAGTAACAAATTAATTTCTTTCTTAGCCAATTTAACTCTTCATAATGCAATATAGAGCATGTTGACATATCATTTTATCTAATCTTATACCAGCTATCCCGTGATACCTGTTATGCTTTGATAAAAGTTCTGCAATTCAGCTCAATTTAATTAAAACAACATTTTATAATCAAGATTGTTCTGAAAATCATCTCGACACCTGCTAATGAGGATAAGGATCCTTCACTTCATTAAAACATGTTTTAATCAAGATAGTAATTCTACAGATCAGCTCCACTCTGGTTAACAAGCATAAACATACCTAACCGAGCTATAACATTTTAATAATTCACGTCTGATCCAACAGTTTCACCCACAGGAGTTGGCATTTTCAAAAGCAGCTGAGCATAACATGGGTAAATAACAACATTTGTTAGCATTCAGTGCTTCTTCAATAATAAATAAATGTTCAAATTCTCAGTATGCCCACATTTAAAATAGCTGGTATTTTTAATGATTATATATGCTGTAAAGAGAAATTGATACCCAAATATATTCTGGAGTGCATTATGGCCAAAACTTTTTTGTTTTATGCTTAAGTATAAGTGATTGCTTTATATTGTGAACCTAAAAATGTCACTGTAAGTAGAGTGCACTTCCTTAGTAAAAGTAGTAGTGTTCTGATTGAAAAGCACAGAAACTTATTTTGCCTGCAAATGGAATGCCCTCTGCCAATTGGGTGTTAAATCTTAAGATCAATGCTGTGTATCCATCCTATCATAGCATCCGACAACCTTAGCTTAAAAAATGTATTTAAAAAAAAGTTCTATAGCACTCTTAAAAGCAATAATAAAATCTTGAATTGTATGCATTTCATGGGTGAGCTACTCAAATCCAAAGATTGTTTTTTTAAAATAGGTCACACTAAAATTTTTAGAATACCCTTGTCATTTGTTGCTGCTTTGCGAAATCTTGTACGCTACGTAATGCAAAATAAAAGTAAGCCTTGGGAGCTTTGAAGCTGTTTTAACAATCTTTCTAGACAGTCCACAAACACCTTGACCCAATTGCAGTAATTGGTATGAGGATCTTTAGCTCGCAGCCAACTGAACTCTATACATAAAAAAGTGAATCAATTGAAAGTTGCAACCTTTTCCTTCATTTGCGAATGTTTCACTAGTCCCATGAGAATCATAAATTGGATGATTTTATTTGTGCAAGTTCTAGAAACATTCTTTTGTGACTTGTCGGATTTGTACTCTAAGATATGTTTTATGAGAAAGGTAGTCTTACTTCTAGTCACATTCCGAAAAAGAGGAATTTATTTTTTCACTACCTGGCTTTGTACAGATTTCCCCTCCCCCCCCCATCCTCCAGCCAAAAATATGACCTTAGTACTGCACGACAAAGCCAAACATTAAGCTAATAGCATTACTTTAATCAATGAGAAACTACAGTCTTGAAGTCATTTTGAATGTTTTCCAAAAGCATTTACATTGATCTTGACATTTCAATCTTTGTTTTTGGTACTTAAAGGATATTGTACCATAATGAACTTGTCTGCTAAAAACAGATTCAAATGCCCACTTTGAGCTCAACACAGGAAAGCCTTTTGGGTTATTACAGAATTATATATTTAATCCTAAATAGTTTTGATTTTCAATTTTATTTGTATTTCCATTTATCAAGATAACTATTGTGCAATTATAAATATTTAAAACCAATCGTCAGTCTTGTCTGCCTTTGGATTTTCTGATGGGATTGAGATCAATATATTGGTTACTATCTCTTAGTTTCCTGGTGAATGAGGGGAAGACTGGAGAGGATACAAACACAAGTTGAAATTTATTAGTCTTCCACCACAAACCACCACCACCAACTGTGGCAAAACAGCAAGATTGTTCTTGTGATTATCAGATTGGCACTATAACTGAAGAACACTTGTAATAAAATACATTTTAAATATTGAAAGAATCAGCAAACTGTAATGTCAGGAGGACATCTCAAAGCACTTAACACAACTAATGTTGAGTGATCAACAAAAATAGGCATTCAGACATTATTTTTATCAGTCTCCAAATACAGTAATGCTCTTACAATCAACTTGCTCTTGCAGCACCCCTTGCTACCAAAATGAACGTTTTATTTTGGAAAGATGGCAAAATAATAACAATAATAATCCTTGCATTTGGTACAGTGACTTTCGTGTTAGGAGGATGTCTTAAAATCTTAGGATTTTACTGTGGAGTAACTGTTTGTAGGGGAGTATAAAATAAGTTTATAGTCTGGGTTGCTGACAGCTGGTGGCCATAACCTGCTGACAGTAAACCACTACTGGAACTGGGGCAACAGAGTGCAGCTCCAACAATCCAGTTCAGAATGGCTTACAGGAGTTAAATGCAAGGATTATTACTTCTAATGTTCCTTGATCAGGGAAGAGCACATGGATGCATGCTTTATTTTGCAATCTGCATTTCAGAAGGGAAATGTAACTCAAATGTATTTAGGAATTAAGAGCAATCGGTGTAAATGCTGAAAATGTGGTACAGATGACTTATTGTACAAAAAATGATTTTTACTTCAAGAGAAATGCAACGCTATGGAAACTGTGACCTCGGTGAGAGCAATGATGGAAAAGCTCTTTTGATCTACTGAAGCTCATTCCGGAGTTTAACTCGCATTAAGATCTTGTGCCCCCGCCAATGGTTTTACTCCTTTTGAATTAATCCTTCAAACTGATATAAAAAAATAATCCATTGGGTGATGTATAAATCCACCTCGTCACTGTGATTTTCATGCAAAATAATGATGACATTGACGCAAAGAGATACCAGCCCTAGAGTTTCACAAAGATAATCTCACAAGCAAACCTCACAGAGTGCAGACGGAGTTGCGAGAATTAAATAAGAGTTAATTCACTTTCCAGTATATATTCTGTGAAGCGCTTTGAGATGGTCTCGATGACATGATAAGGCTTCATACCAAATGCAAAAGGATTATTATCTTTATCTGCAATTTCATCGGAAATTCATTGATGGTTTTCTATTTGCAATCAAATTCGTGTCTGGCGGTGTCTAGACTTGATATATATATATATATATATATATATTTGTATCCCTGGGCTTTTATTTTCAAACCTAAACAGATGCAAACTGAACAAAAACGCACAGATTCCAAAGTGCAGCTCCAGTCTTCATCGATGCAAACTTCCGAGTTCCAGTTTAAATCGATTGCATATCGCCAGGTTTCGGTTGCACTGCACACACAGACCGAGGTTCAATTCCTCCCTCCTCCCCCCTCCACCATCGGGGGAGTTTTAAACCTGCCCTTATATATATATATATTAGCTGCAGTGGGCGATGAGACACTTTCTTTTTTTTAAAATCTGAATTCAAGAGTTGATGGAAAATAAATCAATGGCAATGCAGTCTCGATGCAATTCCAACTCCCCCCGTCCCGTCCCGTCCCCCTCCCCATCCCCATCCCCCTCCCCACCCCATCCCACTCCCCATCCCCATCCCCTCCCCATCCCCTCCTCGGCTCTGGTGATGTGGATGGACCATCATCACACACCGCAAAGCTGCCAATCCGGAAAGAAGTGCGGAGTTCTGTGGCTGTGGAGTGTTTTCTTGTACCATCTTCTTTTTTCCGCTACTCCGGTATCGAGAAGCTCCGTCAAATGCCCTCCGCCTCTCCCTCCCCCCCCCCCCCGGAGGGGGAGTCAGACACTCCGACCCCCCCCCCCCCCACCCGCTCCCGGGTACCCGCTCCCGGTGATTGACAAGTCCACAGATGTACTTAGCAGAGCTCAGTCAGCGAACAGCAGCGGTTCCGAGCCCCGCGCGCTATTTCTGGGTTAAGAAGCTTTTTTTTTTTCACATCATCCCCGGCATTAGCTGTCGGGCTCTGTCAGTGACTGCAGGAGAACCGGAGCGGGAGGATCGGCGGGTCAGGCAGTGGGGGGGGATTTCATTACTGTTGGTAGTGGTGGTGGTGTGTGTTGGTGGTGTGTGTTGGTGGTGTGTGTGTTGGTGGTGTTGGTAGTGGTGTGTGTTGGTGGTGTGTGTTGGTTGTGTTGGTGGTGTGTGTTGGTGGTGTGTGTGTTGGTGGTGTGTGTGTTGGTGGTGTGTGTTGGTTGTGGTGGTGGTGTGTGTGGTGGTGGTGTGTGTGTTGGTGGTGTGTGTTGGTTGTGGTGGTGGTGTGTGTGGTGGTGGTGTGTGTGTTGGTGGTGTGTGTGTTGGAGGTGTGTGTTGGTTGTGGTGGTGGTGGTGTGTGTGTTGGTGGTGTTGGTAGTGGTGTGTGTTGGTGGTGTGTGTGTTGGTTGTGGTGGTGGTGTGTGTGTTGCTTGTGGTGGTGGTGGTGGTTCCTACTCAGAGGAGGAGGAGGAGATCAGCACAAGTTCATCAACGAACTGACCCAACAGTGAGCACAAGGGCTGTGTTTGTGGGGTGTGGTGTGTGTGTGGGGTGTGTGTGGTGTGTGGTGTGTGGTGTGTGGTGTGTGTGTGTGGTGTGTGGTGTGTGTGGTGTGTGGTGTGTGTGGTGTGGGGTGTGTGTGGGGTGTGTGTGTGTGGTGTGTGTGGTGTGTGGTGTGGGGTGTGTGGTGTGGTGTGTGTGGTGTGTGGTGTGGGGTGTGGGGTGTGTGGGGTGTGTGTGGTGTGGTGTGTGGGGTGTGTGTGGTGTGTGTGGTGTGGGGTGTGTGGGGTGTGTGGTGTGTGGGGTGTGTGGGGTGTGGTGTGTGGGGTGTGTGTGGTGTGTGGGGTGTGTGTGTGTGGGGTGGGGTGTGTGTGGGGTGGGGTGTGTGTGTGTGGTGTGTGGGGTGGGGTGTGTGTGTGTGGTGTGTGGTGTGGTGTGGGGTGTGTGTGTGGTGTGTGTGTGTGGTGTGTGTGTGTGGTGTGTGTGGTGTGTGGGGTGGGGTGGGGTGGGGGTGGGGTGGGGACCAGAAGTTGCCGCGGATGCCCTGAATGCAGCAGCAGTTCGGATGCTCTGTGGCTGGAGTCCGGCTTTCGCTTCGCTCCGCTCCGCTCCGCGGCCGCCGCCCGCCGGCGGTCTGCCCGGATGGCCAAGATCAGAGTGGCTTACGACTACTCCGAAGCCGAGGACAAAAGTATCAGACTCGGGCTGTTCCTCATGGTGTCGGGCATCGTGTCCCTGTTCGTGTTGGGCTTCTGTTGGCTGAACCCCGCGCTGCACAACATGCAGTGCAAAGCCGCCAACTGCTCGGTGGTCTCTCTGCAGCAGATCGGGGAGATGTTCGAGTGCACTTTCACCTGCGGGGCGGATTGCAAAGGCACCTCTCTGTACCCCTGCCTCCAGATCTTCGTCAACAACTCCGAATCCAACAGCAAAGCCCTGCTCCATTACGACGAGCAGCAACTCATTCTGAACCCCAAGGTAAAAAGTGGGGCTTGGGCTGGACTGGGCTTGGGCTGGACTGGACTGGGCTTGGGCTGGACTGGGCTTGGGCTGGACTGGACTGGGCTTGGGCTGGACTGGGCTGGACTGGGCTTGGGTGGGACTGGGCTGGGCTGGACTGGGCTTGGGCTGGGCTTGGGTGGGACTGGGCTGGACTGGGGCTGGACTGGACTGGGCTTGGGCTGGACTGGGCTTGGGCTGGGCTGGGCTGGACTGGGCTTGGGCTGGACTGGGCTTGGACTGGACTGGGCTTGGGCTGGACTGGGCTTGGGCTGGACTGGGACTGGGCTGGGCTTGGACGGACTGGGCTTGGGCTGGACTGGGCTGGGCTTGGGCTGGACTGGGGCTGGACTGGGCTTGGGCTGGACTGGGGCTGGACTGGGCTGGTCTTGTGCTGGTCATCTCGCACCCAAATCACACCCCACCGACCCCAAAAAAGGTGTGGGTGGTTGGTTCGAGGGGCTCTCGGTGTCCACGCGTTACTTTACCCATTTGTCTACAACTTTTGTTGCGTTGCGCTCGACATCTCCGCCTCTCCTCCTCCTCCTCCTCCCCATCACCATCACCATCATCCATCCAACTGCGCGTGTGAACTTTAACGTGGGAATAAATGTCCCGATGACTTGACTTCTGCGAGGTGTTGTCATGGCAATTTGCAGCAGGAATGTCACACAGAGCTCCTGCCCTGTCTTGCCTTGGTCTGTCTGTCTCTGTCTGTCTCTGTCTGTCTCTGTCTGTCTGTCTGTCTCGACCAGAAACGTTAGAGATGTCACAACAACATTAACTGGGACCTGCCTTCTCCTCCCAAGAGCAGATCGAGATGAACGGTCTGTGTGAACTGTTGCTGCTTTTTTAACGCAGCGCCCACACCAAGGCTTCGGCACACAGTGATGGTGGACATTTATTCCTGAACTGATGAAAATGCACAATTTTCACCACTCTGCACTGGGAGCCTCCAACGCGATCTGTACCTGGGTTTGGGGTGACTCTGCTGTGCCATCTTCCAAAATGTGGTGATGTTCAGTGAAGCCACGTAATGTGTGTGTGTGTGTGTGTGTGTGTGTATGTGGGAGGGAGGGAGAGGGTTTTACTGACTAAGGCAGTTGATTACATTGGTGAAATATTGTCAGTCCAATATTCCACACTCACCCAGTACTTCATTAAAATGTGTTCATTATCGACCCCGGTGCAGTTCGTGAACTGATGGGCAGAGAAAACAAATGCTGCAGGGCACAGATTTCTATCAATTAGAAGTCAGGAAGTCAATATGATTGATTCTCTGGTGGGTTTGTTTACTTTTGCGTATCTTCATGAACTGGTCGTGCCAGGAGCTGCTCTCTGTTAACCCGAGAAACTTTAGAGGACCTTAAAAATAAATGCCCAGGGTCCATCTATGGAGAGAATCGAGCTCAAGTTCTGGAAAAGAATTGCACAGCGATCTGCTTACTCTTGTACTCTTGAGTTCACCTGCTAAGGATTTACTTAAATAGGAAATTCTGCCGTTAAACTGGACTTGGTTTTCAAAGAACGTTAAGGAACCGTAAATTGTAAGAAATGATCTGAGTCATGCAAATGGAGATCGCATTCAGTAACTGGAAGTATGTCTTGCCATCTTAACATTTACCACTTAAGTGATGTCCCTTTTGCATCGATGGGAATTCTAATTGGTTTCCTTCGTCAGAAACGCCGCAAATTGGACTCTGTAATACACATATATAACCAATGATCAGATGGATAGTGAAAAAGACTGCCATTCTGAAGTTGCAGATTCACAAAGTTACAATAAACATGTATGTTTCAACCAGTGCTGAAGTGATGAGAGGATGCAGCACTCCACATCATCTTGTGCCATTTGCTGAGGTGAAATTGAATGTGACAGCCCAGCTAAATACTGCTGGTTTGATCATCCACAGTCATGCCTACAATGGAGTCAAATCTGTTGCAAATGTAGGTAGTGGTAGTGCTTCTTTGAGGGATAGGATGTGAGGTTTGAAAGGAAAGCACAATAACAAGCAAGATTGGTGATTTGATTAGTTAGGAAACCAAAATAAAATAATGAAATACATTGTGAGTTTGGTTCAGGTGGTTCTCAGAGGAAGAAGCAGGTATGTGGGTCTTTAAGAAGAGAGTGGCTAATGTATATGGTCACTCAACTAAAGAGAGCTGCAAAGGACCTGTAACATGGACTAAGCAAAGCACAAAAGAATTTTCTTTTTGAATAGTGAAGTAAATACTTCCTAACAAGCTGCTAGGGGAATTTCTGAGCCACCTATAATGATAATAAAAAATCCTTACGTTTGATATAGCATCTTTCACATCGGGAGGACATCTCAAAGCGCTTCACAGGTTATACTGTAAAGTGTTGTGACTGTATTTTGTAGGAAAACATAATATGTGTGAACCCTCCAGATATAATTTATTTATCAGTAATGTAAGGGATAAGCTATTCGTGATGTACCATAGCACGCTGAGATTGTCGTAAAATTCAAAGAAACAAAAATAATACTATTCAAAAGTCACTAGTTCGGTGATATAGTAACTTGGTGTATCACATAATAGAATGAAAGATTTGTGACAACTCCCCTTATAGTACAGAGTTACTGATTTTAAGAATTAATAATAATCCTTGCATTTGATATAGCGCTTTTCACAACTACTAGACGTCTCACAGCGTTTCACAGAAATATACTGTAAAGTGAATTGACTGTATATTTGTTGACAAAATGCGACAACCAATGCGCACAGCGTCCCATAAACAGTCATGGATTGAGTGACCAAATTATTATTGTTTTTTTCTTGAGGGATTATTATGAGGCTTGTGGAGTAAGGAAACTTGCCCAAAGTTTCATCCTCCCGGGAATCAAACCCAGGCTTCTCCCTTGTGAGGCAAGCGCTCTAACCACTGAGCTACAGAACTCCAAGTGGCCCATGAAAGGGAAGAGAGAAATTTTCTATCACAGGAGGTGATCATAAGCAATCACCGGATGAATTGTTGTTTGAGTGAACTAGTTGACATGGTTCTCATACAGTCCTACTCAGCACTGAGCTGGCATTGAGTCCTCATCCTCAGTTTAAGAGCACTGGAATAACTTGAATACAAGATCATCTACCTCAAGTAAAGTCCTGTAGCTTAGTGATTAGAGCACTCGCCTTGCAAGCGAGAGACCTGGGTTTGATTCATTGGCAGGTGCAATGTTGGGCAAGTTTCCTTACTCCACACTCCTCTGCTTCCCTGCCAGTAAGTAGGAATCCAGTTGTTAGTCAATTGGCAGATCGCTTTTCTGGGAGTAATAATTCCTTCAAAAATAAAAAAAATTCACTCAATCCACGACTGTTTGTGGGACACTGCTGTGCACAATTGGCTGCCGAGTTTCACTCACAAAATATGCAGTCAATTCACTTTACAGTATATTCTGTGAAGCTCTTTCATATATCTTGAATTTATGCAGTGAAGTATCTATTTCTGAGGCTTTTAAACCTGTGATGTATAAATAGTTTTCTAGGACACCGGATCCACAACCAGTTCATTGTTTGATCTGTTATAAATTTGTGGTTCCATCAGCAACAACTTTTGCCTTTACTTGTATCAGATCCACCAAATGTAATTTGTCACTGGGATCCAGTAATGCATATACCTCAGATAAGATACACAGATAAAATTATTTTAAATTTTTCTCATCCAAGAGTTTATGGTGCTGAAATGTTTCATCTATTTGTTTGTGTTTGTGTGATACTGCTGTGCGTAATTGACTGTCGCGTTTCGCACGCAAAATATATAATCAATTCGCTTCACAATACATTCTGTGAAGGGTTTTGAGACATCTCGAAGACATGATAAGGCGCTATATCAAATGCAAGGATTATTATTATTATTATTGTATATCCCTACAACTTGTATTTAAATAATACCCTTCACACCAGTAATGTCTCAGTGGTGTAGCTTGACATTGAGCTGGAAAGAGAAAGGAGATGACCGAAAGCACAGTCGAAGAAGAAAGTCTTCAGGTATGTTTTGAAGCCGGGCAAAGAAGGGACAAGATGGAGGGGTTGAGACATGAATTACCAGAGATTCAGGACAGTGGCTGAAAGCATGGGAACCCTAGGATGCTTTCACTGTGTTGACATTGTTAGAACAGTAAGATAATGTACCAAAGGCTTAAAATCAACATAACTTCAGCCAGTTATTTGCTTAATTTTATGATAAGCCTATCACAATATGTCAGGTTCATTTAGTAGAAAATGATGGGTAATGGATGCAAACCTTCTTGTACACGTTGGTAAATTGATCGCAGACAGAAGTATTCCACCTTTTGGACTTAATGATGATAACTTTCGAATGTCCTTGTGGTAAAATACCAATACCAATACTGAACGATACTGTGAGCATTTATATTCTGAAGAAGAGTCTAATTTTTGGTGGCGTTTGATCAAATCAAAAAGAAGCCCATTTCATATTAGGAAAGTGCATTTTCTATCCATCTGTCTCTTTGAATTGTAGTTCTTGGGAACTGCTGCTTCACTTTGGACAATGTATATTATTTGTTACATTTGTGTCTCTTGAAAAGAGTTCCATAAGATAGTACCTTTTATGAACAGTAAGATGGATCAAACAAAATTTAGAAATTAAATCTAGTTTTTTTAGTTCAATGTCAAACCAATTGATTCAAATCGCTGGAAGCGAAGAACCAAAATAAGTTATCGAGTAGCTTTTTATAAACAGTTCCCCCAATCATAATTGGAAATCATCTTGCCATCTGAGCATAAATTTGTTATCTTATTTTGCAGTTAACAACCGCAATGCTATATTTTCTAAGACATCTGCCCCTGTTATAGTTGCCTTTGGATACATTATGCTGTGAAAAATACACACCCAAATCTGATTTGTTAACATGTATTCTTTCCCAAATATTTGCCATCAATTTTCCGTTTACTGTTATTTAAAAATACTGAACCTGATAAAGATTTTAGCTTATAAATATCAAGTCAAAGGTCAAAGCAATGAGTAATACAATACTGTACAAATGATCTCTACTTCTGCAAAACTGCTGTCACTCTTTATTATATTCTTCACCTTCAGTTACCTAATTTAACTGAAAAATGTCAAAGGATAACATGCTTAACTACATGGTTTTGGGGGATAATAATTTGATACACTGCTGGGATGTGCCATGTCAGATCAACAAATTCTGGAAACTGTCCCTACATGAGCAAAGCTGTTGTGGCATTTTCTACAGTCCCACAGCAAACATGTTGAAATCCATGTGAAATGTAGATTTGGTGATTAATGGTTTTCAATTTGTACTTGTCTGTCAAGAGAGATCAGACTGCTAAAATGTAATCATTCTCATTTACCCTCAGGAAACAGGCCTTTCTGATTGGAAATCATTAAATTGTGGATTGAGAAAAAGCTTTTGGGTTCTTCCTCTATAAAAGGAAGTGTGTTGGGTTTTTAACAATAATAATAATAATCCTTGCATTTGATGTAGCGCCTTATTATATCATTGAGACATCTCAAAGTGCCTCACAGAATATACTGTAAAGTGAATTAACTCTATATTTTATGGGCGAAACACAGCAGCCAATTGCGCACAATATGTCTTAATTAGGACTTCTATATGGTTAGATCAACAAATAAGATAAATGATACTTATTTACTGTATACATTCTTTTTGTCTGGATAGTCGAAAGAGAAAATAATTAGGTATTCATTGCACAATGGAAAAATATTGCATTCCAATCATTAGTATTCCAGTTCATCTTTGAATCTATCACCCAACTTAATATTGTAGAAACAAATTTTAATTTAATAGTTATTTGCTAACATGGTATGGATTTTCTAGTTTTCTAACCTTTCTACTTGGACCAAATCTTGCTTTTGATCAATGGGAGGACTGGTGTTCAGAAAGAATTCCATCAGAAAGACACTGTTCAGTGAATTTAAATCTTTTCGAAAAAGTTACTACACTGAAACATTGAGCCCTCTTTAGATTATCACCTGAACATGATAACATTAGGGAGCAGTTCCACAAACATTAGTGGCCTACACAAACATTACAGAAGCCCTCCTCCCCATGAGCACACTATCTTTACGTTATCTGGGTCTGAAGTTACCAGCTCTGTTTGTTTGTATTATGGAAAGAATCAATAGCATTTATCAGTATTGTATACAGTGTATCAAACACAATGAAAAGAATCATCCTCATAGGATGTTGTTGAGAAATAAATAGTTTGCTTTCCACATGGAAAAAGACTGAATTTTCAAAATGATTAATTTTATTTGATCCCAAAGGGATTCATTTAGCAAAAACTAGTAACAAGACAAGAACGAAACGAGTTTCCGTTTTGATGTGATAAATATAATATGTCACCTCTTAAAGCAGTTTGGGAAAGTAACCCAAGTTTAGCTATTCATGAGATAAATTGAGAAGAGATTTTGGAGTTTGTCCACAGATGCTCCATCTGCAACAACTTGAAGGGCATCCAAGTTAGAGTACAATAATGAATTTCAATTGTAAATAGAAAAGTAGATTTTCATCCTTACTCCCACTTCTTTAAATACTGAATAGATTTTGCGGAAAATATAACAGCATTTATTTCCTACTCTTTCTTTTCTGGAGAGATATTCAAACTAATGTCTAGATTTACTATATTGATGGAATCAATTCATGATTTATCAGTTGTGCCAACAATTCATCTGTACAGTTCGGAGAGAGACAAAAGAAATCCTTTTATGAGCTGGATTTAACAATTGATGTTTTAGTTGAAAACTCTTTACTATCTAGACTCTGTAATTCTATTCAAATTGTATAGCTGTGAGATATAATATGCAGTGTGTCACTTCTGAGACCTATAATAATAATAATAATAATAATAATAATAATCCTTGCATTTGATATAGCGCTTTTCACGTCGGGAAGACGTCCCAAAGCGCTTCACAGAACACACTGTAAAGTGAATTGACTGTATATTTGTGGGCGAACGCGGCAGCCAATTGCGCACAGCAATGTCCCACAAACAGTTCGTAGATTGAAAATGACCAATTTATTATTGTTTGGGGTTTTTGGAGGGATTATTATTAGGTGTGTGGAGTAAGGAAACTTGCCCAAGGTTTCGCCCTCTGCCTGGAATTGAACTCAGGTCTCTCACTTGCAAAGCAAGTGCTCTAACCACTGAGCTACAGGACTCCACGATTTAAATCTATTCTGAACTGCTGAAGCTGAAATTTTCCTTGCTCGGTTGACTGTAAATGCCATATAAGAAATGATTTGGAGCAATCTCAAACTAGGTTTTATGGTTGGGTAGGTGAGGGTGAGGGGGAGGTTAAAGCACTGAGTAATTTATTTCATTTGTGAGAAAGATTAGGAAATTCAGTCTTCGAAAGAAAAGCAGATTACAATTCAAGACATATACAGTCAATTTCTTTAAAGATAGTCTGTAATCAATACAGATATACACTCACAAGAGTCTATCCTGCAATTTATCTGCTAAATTTACAACACACATTTTAACACTACATTTTCTATAAAAGCTTCAAATTCTATTGTTAAAGTCAATTCCTTCCAAACAAGTTTTACGGTGTAGCTGTGGTGTTTTTGTTATTCACTTCATGGCTGTTTGTGGGACATTACCGTGTGTAGATTGGCTGCCATGTTTGCCTACAAAACTACAATCATTCTTGATGTGAAACGCAAGGATTATTGTTAGGATTATCACTGGTGATAATAATCACAACACCACATGCTACAATGTCCACCCAGATGTTTATTAAAATTAGACTAATTTTAGATTCATTTTTAGCACATGAAAGATTGAAAAATAACCATCTAAATTACGGCTGAATTTCAGCATTTTTGATAATTTCGTGCAATGTTACATTTTAAGACAAAATCTAAGACCAACGTGAAAAGTCAGCATGTTTTTTGGAAGCAATAGGTCTTGCCTCACTGATCTACTGGAATTCTTTCCGGGAGGTAAGCTAAGCTAGTTTAAGGGAACAGTCCAGCGGATATAATTTATTTGCAATTGAGAAAGCATTTGATAAACACGTATGAAATTAATTGCATTTAAAACAAATTTAATTTAAAAAAGCTTGAAAATAGAAACCCAAAGACTTTGTCCAGTAGTACAATGATTAATTTATGGATTTTAAGAGCTAAGAACTGTAAGTGCATTCAAAGCTGAATAAGAAGGAACAAAGGTTAACTGTAGGCTAATTCTGATGAAAGCCTAGCCCCACTTGAGGTGGAAACTACACACTGTTTTGCACATTAATCTGGAGAATATGATTGGATTCCTTAATCTATGATTAATATAGACTGTCAGCAAATTTGTCTCATTGGATTCAGTGCCGTTTAGAAACCGTACGACCTGATGTCTTCCAAGAAAGTTATAATGGTTTTAAGATGAGGATTAAATGCATTATTTTTTTAACAACCTGAGACTCAACAGATGTCTGAAAGAATGAACTGCATTATATTATGATGATTTTTATTAAAAAAAACACTGGAAGCCTTTAGCATTCCTCAGAAAGAAATATGTGAAACAGACCCAAGGCCTAAAATTCTATGCAATCGTTTTTAATTTGGAAGACAATTTTTNGCAATTCTTTAAAAAAAAGAGTTGTAAAAAAATAAGAAGATTGGGTTTGACTTTATTCATTGACAAGGTTGTATATGAATAATGACCATTCGGATGCAATACTGGAGTGTGCCATGTTTCTGTGGGATTGCCTACATGTAGAAAGCAAAGGAATTGAACACCATCAGTTGAAAGTACAAGGGAGAAGGAGATATTTGGTGAATGACTAAATGAAGGATAGTATTCCTTGCAATACAAGGAAACTTTTCTGTATGTAGCAAGGATTCCGTTTCTACATGTTCTGTTTTTACTGGTAGCAAGGTGCAAAGTGAGGAACAATGTGAGTACAATGTTTTTATTGATCTATTTCATTTATGGAGACGTCTGGGTTATTTTCTCATGTCTCTCTTTTGTGCAGTGTTCCTTCATTCCTCCCTGTGAAAGAGACAATCAGAAAAACTCTGAAATCGTCATGAGTTGGCACGAATACTGGAGGGATGAAATTGGCTCCCGGGATTTTATTTGTTACATTAACCAGCACCGAAGGTAAGTGAAGCACTGAGCGCAATTAATAGCAGCAAACACTGCCCACAGACAACTCACCCTAAATAACATTTCTCACGAAAAACAATTTATACAAAATAATATACCATGTGCCTCATTCATTGAATCTTTACATTAAGCGACACATCTTTGATGACACAAGTTTATTTAAATATTTTGACAGCTTTAATGCAGCACAAAAATGGACCTGTACTGGTTTAAATAACTAAATAATGAAGTCCATTTAACAGATTATTTACATATTTAGTAAAAAGGTGAAGGATCACAGAAGGTTTGCAAGAAAACAGTATTTGTTTTATTATAGAATCATACAATCATAGAACTGTACAGCACAAAAAGAGGCCATTCGGCCCATCGAGTTTGTGCCGGCTCTTTGATTAGAGCAATTAATGTCAATCCCACTCCCCAGCCCTTTCCCCATAACCCTGCAAACCCGTCCTCCTCAAATACCCGTCCACCGCGTTTTTAAAAGTAGTTATTGAATCGGCCTCGACCACCCTTTCAGGCAATGCGTTCCAGATTTGAACAACTCGCTGTGTGAAAAAATTTCTTCTCACCTCTCCTCTGCTTCTTGTGGAGACTATTTTGAATCTGTGACCTCGAGTCACCGACACACCCACCAGTGGAAACAGTTTTTCCCTTTCTACCCTATCAAATCCCCTCATGATTTTGAAGACCTCTATTAGGTCTCCTCGTAACCTTCTCTGTTCCAATGAGAATAATCCCGGCCTCTCTAGCCTTTCCTTATAATCAAGGTCTCATTCCTGGTACCATCCTCGTAAATCTCCTCTGTACCCTTTCCAATGCCTTAACATCCTTCCTATAGTGTGGTGCCCAGAACTGGGCGCAGTATTCTAACTGAGGCCTAACCAGTGTTATATATAGATTAATCATAACCTCCTGACTCTTGTACTCTATGCCCCTATTTATAAAGCCTAGTATCCCATTTGCCCTTTTTACAGCTTTATCTACCTGTCCTGCCACCTTCACGGATTCATTTACCTGCACCCTCAGGTCTCTCTGTTCTTTTACACCAGTTAAGATTGTATTACCAGCCTGCATTGCCTCCCCTCATTCTTTCTACCAAAATGCATTACCTCGCATTTCTCCACATTGAAACTCATCTGCCATGTGTCTGCCCATTTTACCATTCTGTCTATGTCTTCCTGCAGTTGGCTACTATCCTTCTCACTGTTTACTACCCTACCTAACTTTGTGTCATCCGCAAACTTGGAAATGGTGCTTGCTATACCCAAGTCCAGATCATTTATGTATATTAAGAAGAGCAGTGGTCCTAATACCAATCCCTGGGGGACGCCACTGTACACTTCCCTCCAGTCAGAAAAGCAGCCGTTCACCACAACTCTCTGCTTTCTGTCTCTCAGCCAGTTCTGGATCCATACTGCCACTCTCCCTTTTATACCATGGGCTTCTATCTTTCTTACAATCTTTCTTCTATCTTTCTTCAGTACAATTATTGTGTTATATTCTTTAATGTGAAGAATGTAAAACAAGGAATAAAATTCATAAACTAGAGACACAGTGCACATTATATATTCTGATCCTCACGCTTGCATTCAAATCCATTCACTCCCTAGCACCTCCTTACCTCTTCAACCTCCTCACTCCCCAATCCACCACCAGGCGCCTCCGCTCGACCGGCACCGGCCTCATGCTCATCCCTCGCACCCTCGGCCCCACCATCAGAGGTTGTGCTTTCATCCACCATGCCTCAAAGCTCTGGAACACTCTCTCTCAATCCCTCTGCCTTGCCCCCTCCCCTCTTTCAAGTCCCGCCTGAAAGCTTTCCTCTTCGCACAGAGGGTCACCACTCCCCTGCCCGTGCCTCGGAGTCAGGCTACACCATTGTTAACGCTCTGAAACGCTACCCTGCATGGAGGGCACTATATAAGTGCAACTTGTTGTTGTTGTATATTACATACTTCTATCACCATGAACATGGGTATAAACCAAGTCAACAACTTAAAAAGAGGAATGATATAATAGCACACAATGAAACATTACCAATATTTACATTGAGGCATTTCAAATTGTGATTACCAGATATGAGTGGGGAAAATTGCTTGCTTATGAATATGACAAAATTCAAGATAAGGTTGTGGATCACCTTTATCATAGGAGGTACCGGAAAAAATAACCTCTGTTTAAGTTAAACATTCCTTTTCCTGTAAGGATCATCGCCACACAGTTCCCTGATTCAGGGCTGCTGATCTTGCAGTGTTTCCGAAGTCAACAACTTATGCCATTTCACCCTCTTCCCCATTGCTCATTAATTCAGTAAGACTGTAACAATGGCACCAGTGATCAGCAGGCCAGCCTCTGCCTATTGAACCCGAAATAATCCATAAGAAATAATTTTTAATAGATGGCATTTTCCCCACGAATAATCAAGGCCAAAAAGCATTTGTAGCCACTTACTCTCAAATATTTCCTAACAAAAACAATTGACAGTCTACCATGTAAATATAGCTTGCATTCTTAATGCTCAATTCAAATGCTGAAATATTAGTTTGCCTGTTCTTTGTGTGGTGCAATGAAGGTGGTGAACTCTTAGCTAAAGCCTACACCTTGGTGCTTTTTCTAGACCTGATGATGCACTACTGAAGCGTGTTCATGATGAAAATGTTCTCCTGCACTGTGTCCTCTGGCCTCTCCTCACTCTCTTGGTGGGTGTCCTGATCGTGCTGCTCACTGTCTGTGGTAAGAGCCTTGCTATTCGAGCAGAGACAATGCAAAAGAAGAAGTGCTCCTAGTGAGAAGACTTACAATTAATGGCATCAAACGTCATTGCAATAGCTATCTAATCAGTAGTGCATTCAAAGGGAAATCTTTGACTACAAAGACCTGAAATTACTTTGCTCGACTGTTGATTTTTAAAGTTCTATGCTGATTTAAGCTTCCGGGAAGAGTAAAACTGATTGATTGCAAAAGCTTTGGATTTATCATGAGAAGACTACTGAATTATTATATTTTTTAAAAAGCAGACGTAATGTAGCTTAAGCCTTGTGGTTTTTGAATATAACTTTCCAAGGTCCCAGAATATACAATGCAACCCCATATAACTGTCAGTAAAAGCACACAAACTCTCTGCTGTTCAAAACCAGTCGAATAATGAAGCTGTACTTTATAATGCTGTAAAGATGCAATTGTCAATAAAAAATAGTTTAAATATTGGAAAATAAAGTCTCTTGAAGACCTAGAAGCTTTGTACAGTTGCATGTAATGATTGTTTTTCTACCAGCAGCAGTCAGTCAATAATATGACACATTTAAAACCATTTATAGTTGTTAATGTTGCAACTAATGAGGAAGACCTGCCTCAATAGGATTTAAATAGGCCTCACAGGTAAAGAAGCAGATATAAAATAGTCTGGGGAACTGTGTTGACAGTCCAGTGCACACTGGAGCAATGTTGCTTGCTGAGTAGTCATCCTTTGGGTGAGACATTAAACTGATATGTTGTTTGCTATTCAGTTGGATGTTAAACATGTCATTCCACTATTCAAAAGTTTCTCCTGGTGCCCCAGCTGGGTTCATTGATCATTCACCTCGTGGCTGTATATGAACTTTCCTATGGGAAAACTGATTGCCAACTTTGTCTACAAAAATAGTCACTATACATGACATTTTGGCGTTATAGGTGCTATATGAAATGTAAGGATTATAATTATAAAGATGCAGTCAGAATTGATTATAATCATGTTATTATTATCAATTATATTTTGCATTTCCCCCCTCCCCCATCATATGTGTCTGAGTTTTCATTGTGCAGTTATGATTAATGCTACCTCAAACCAACAAGCCATTTGATCCATTAAATCTACAGTAGTGCTTTTCTCAACATGAGCCAATTAGCCAAGTGTCCCTCTCCTGCTCACTCTTCATACCATTTGATATTATTTTTCATGGATCTATCAAATCTCTTTTACAAGTAATTTGGTGGTTCAGCACAATAATGATTGTGGCAGAGAATTGCAGCATTCAACTTTTCTCTGCATAAAGGGTAGTTTGTGTCCTTTCACCCTTACCTGCCATGCAACATATTAGTGTTCAAGATCCAGTTCAAGATCCTTGTCCTAATTTTCAAGGCCATCCATGGACTTGCCCCCTCCTACTTCTCTGACCTGCTGACTCCCTACCAACCTGCCCGCTCCCTCCGTTCAGTGGGCTCCAGTCTGCTCCATGTCTCCCACCCGACCCGCGCTACCATCAGTGGCCGGGATTTCAGCCTCTCTGCCCCCACACTCTGGAACTTTATCCCACGGTCCCTTTGCCTCGCTTCCTCCCTCGCCTCCTTCAAGGCCGGTCTCAAGACCCTTTTCTTCGATCGTGCCTTTGGTGGCTCTCCCACCTCTCTGCCTTCCCTCACCCCTACGCCACCCCAACCCCATGCTCGGGTCCCGACACTTGTGTTGAACAAAGTGTTCAGCACTTTGGGACGTCCTCCCGATGTGAAAGGCGCTCTTTGAATGTAATTTTGTTGATGTTGTTGTAGAATCCTAGAGTTTGTTACCGTTGCACTCAGATGTCAAGTATCAAACTTCTGCTGCTCATTAGGTACAAGACAGAGCTGAGGTAAAGTGCCCAGTTGATGAGACTGAGCATGAATTAATATAAAATTAAACAGTAGCAGTTTGACAAGTTATTCTTCCCCTTTCTCTGCTTTCTGGCCTGTTGGCCTCACAATAGTCCTGGCAGTAGCGAGAGAGGCATTGGAGCTTCTTTGCATTCTATCAGCTGCAGTAGTTTACAGTGTGTGGCCTAGAATCAAGAGGGGAATTAATGATTTGACAGGTTGCCAGGAAGGGGAGTTGAAGCCGGAGACTGGACTCATTTAGAAATGCAGCTTGATACTGTGATAGGAGAATGGTAGGGTGGGTATTCTGAAAGGGTGAGGTCAACTGGGTAGAAGGGTCTTCATCCAAACTAATATTGTGATCTTATGAGACAAAATCACATTTGAAAATGTGTTGTATAAATGCATGGCTCCAGACAAACATCTGACCTTAATGATGCATGGAGGGGGGGAATAAATGTTTGCAAAGACAATGTGATTAAACAATATCCACTGTGGAGGTTGCAAATGAAATTCAGCACCACTCTAACACCACTCACAAAAAAAATTACACAACAAAACCCATTGACTAATGTGCTCATGTTCTGCAACTTTCAAAGTCGTTTGATGGTGGAACTTAAAGTTCTGAACATAAAGCTTTTTCTTGAATCTTCACTGTATTTATTTTCAAGTGGGATGTAAAGTGGAAATGGAGATTACATTTCTGATTTATAAAAGCAGATCACATACTCTATTCATCTTGAGTACATTGACACTCTGTGCTAGTTAAGTGTTGCAAAATGTTCACTGATTGAAAAAAAATGTTCCATAATATAACATCCCTTATTATTAAGATCTATTTTCAATGCAGACTATTCTACCTATTTCTTACTTTTTATATGCTTTCCCTTTCCTTCTTTTCTAGCTTCCAATCTTTGCAATAGAGCTACAGCTAAATGAATGGAACCCAGTCCACATCCCAATATCCTTTCTTCTCTGTACATGTTTGCCAGTACGTGGTGTTCTTCTGAAACTCAGCCACTTAGGCATAGGCAACATTTCTGTTAGCCTTGCCTTAGTTGATGGATGTTTCGCTGCTGATTCCAATACATCCACAGAGCAAAGTGCAGAAGAAGGCAGTACTAAGTACCTCAGGGACAGGTGAGACAGGAAGCTGAAGCTAATAATAGCCCTACGAAGGTAGATAGCAATCCTTGAAGCTCATTAGTCAACAATGGTTGTTGTGTTTTGCATTTCAAAAGTGAAATGATAATCACCTTTGCTGGGGTAACAGCAAGTTTAAGAACAGCAACAACGGTAGTGGACAGATTCAGTATTCCACGATCTATCAATAATCATTTGAAGAGCATTAGTAACAGCATCTTAATCGTGGCACTTTTTCAATGATGATCTATGGTTGAATCAATTTTACCCTACATTTATTGTACAATCGTTCCAGGCTGTTCCCATCTTTGCTCCTAGTGTTTTAGGTGATGCCATGGCTTTTCATTTGTTTGCTTGCAAGAGAGAAAATGGACCACTTTTTTTTTACTCGTCCACAAGGAAAAACAAACTCTGTAACAGAGGTATGAAGCAATTGTTCTATCATTGATTCATGAGGCTGCCGAGGACATTTTTGATCATAACCAATCATTTTCGCATTGCCTACTCCATATGTGAAGGTAAGATAATAGTCAACGGAGTTTGGTAACAATTGGCGAACTAAATTTGAAACAACATTCAGCTGTTAATGTATTTCAGCCAACCCTTTATAAATCAAATTCTTAAGATAAAGCATTGAAAACTTGAACAAAAAGATTATTTCACAGACCTTTTACAATTTCTCCTATCGTGGATTCTACCCTACTTATTTAAGCTCTGAAAGAGCTTTAATTAAATACAGGGAACTTTTATATCTCAGCTCATACTCATAAAGGGATCTGCGCACATTTCTGTGACTAGCTAAACCTAAGACGTTGTGCTCTTGCACACATATCTTTTGTATTATTATACAGGGACGAACAAAAATGATGCATGTTCACTTGAAAATAATATTCTGCAGAAAGATAATTGAAACCATTGTCATTTAAATGAACCTGATACAAAGCAGTACTTCAGCAGAAAGAGAGGGCCAGGAGGCTTTTGAGTGAAGGCAGCTTTTGCAGTACATAAAGAAAACAGTCCATTAATGAGTGAACATCTGTTGCAATGAGTGGTTTCTTATACTGCTTTTCCATTATGAGTTTGCCTGCAGACGTTTACATTTTGTATTTGCCAATGGAGCCAAGACCACTTTTACAAGGAAAACCATAATGCAAAATAGCTAAATTCTTAGTCCTGTTTTTTCACAGACCCTCTTTTGGAATTAGAGTAGCTTCTGCCTCCACAGGTAATTGCATCGGTCTCCAGTATGATATTCCTAGTGTAAGAGAACCTGATGTCTATATACCATAACCACATACATGGCACAATGACTTTGTGTGTGTTGCACATCTACGAATAATAATAATAATAATAATAATAATCCTTGCATTTGATATAGCGCTTTTCACGTCGGGAGGACGTCCCAAAGTGCTTCACAGAAATTACTGTAAAGTGAATTGACTGTATATTTGCGGGCGAACGCGGCAGCCAATTGCGCACAGCAATGTCCCACAAACAGTCGTAGATTGAAAATGACCAATTTATTATTGTTTTGGGTTTTGGAGGGATTATTATTAGGCTCTGTGTGGAGTAAGGAAACTTGCCCAAGGTTTCGCCCTGCCTGGAATTGAACTCAGGTCTCTCGCTTGCAAAGCGAGTGCCATAACCACTGAGCTACAGGACTCCAAATAAGTACATGATCCTTGCTTTTATGTCATTAAACGTCTATCTCAAAGTTCATGTACAGGTTGTACTGTAAAGTGTAAAGTGTGATTGTCTATTTCTATGAACAGAAAATGTTAATTTTCCGGATCGCTTCTGTTGAAATGACCTTGGCAGAATAGGGAAAAACGGATGGGAGAAATATTGGTTGATATTCAGGTGTACCTCCTTGGCTCTGATCTATTATTTCAGCAGTGTCAATTGTGAATAGAAATGTTTAACAATTTTCTGTGTATCAATGAATCTGATATCACTCTCCAGTTACTGAGATATGTCAGATGTTTTGTGATTGCTTGGATTTCTATTGCAACAAAAGCGCCCGGACTCCACTTTGAGAAAATAATTTTATTCTAAATAGACACCTTAAGTGAGCAGAGAGTTTGCAATAGAAGGAAATGAATAAGTGAAATTGATGATGCAAAATATAATGGATAATCACTCTGCAGGGCATTACAAGAGTACCTTCTGGTTTCTGAATACCAGATCGGATCTGAAAAAGTCCACAACACTGTATGGGCAATGCTGCAATTTAATAAACGGCATAAGGTGAGTAGGTGGAGTGCAGGAAATTGAAAGACCTACTTTTATTGCAGCTTTGTATGTCAGAGTTTTATAAAACAATAATAAAATGTTCTTCCAAATGAGAACTGAAAGCATCATGATGTGTTCCCAATAATACATTGTGGTTTTAATCTGAACAAGTACAGGATCAGGCTGGTGATAAAATCTAATAACTCACTAATCTAAATAGATTGCTGATATAAATTCAAAAGTGGTTTCACT